GATCCCAAAGTGATCTCAAACAGGTCGTTATTGTTTTTTATCCATTGGTCCCCATTATGAATGAGGACAGATTTTTTATACACACACACACACACACACACACATATATATATATATACAGACACACACAAACACACACGCACACACACACATATATATAATCATCTGGGAGACTCCTCTCTGCCTTTAAACCTCTAGCAAAGCGACTCGTTGCACCCTCTCGAGCTAACGTTCTCCGCTGATATGAATTGGGAGACTATATTGAAATATTGACTCCACTGCTACGTCGTGGGAGACAATTTTTCTCTTCAGAATCTATCATACATATCTATAAGTCTACCATTTGTCCTTGCTTAGAATATTGCTGCTACATATGCGGTGCCCCTGCTATTTACCTTGAGCTGATTGATATGATATAAAGAAGAATCAGCAATATTATCGGTCCTGATCTGGCGGCTCGGTTTCAGTCACTTTCCCACCGCCGTAAGGTTGCCCCTCTGTGCCTTTTCTATAAATACTTTCATGGAAATTGTTCGGATGAGCTCTCCGCTATGGAACCTAGACTTTATTTAATTGAACCGCAGTACTAGACTGGTGTCAAAATCTCATCAATTTACAATTGTGTCAGCTAGATGTAGCCGTAAATTTTATGCTAACAGTTTCTTTTCTCGCACTTCTTGCTTGTGGAACTCCCTTCCGGCTCCATCCTTGCCAGCCAGCTTTAATCTGTAAAAAATTCAATGCAAGATCAATCGCTTTCTACAGTCCTCCTGATTACTCTTTTCTCTTCCCACTCATTACTAATGTTTCTGTTCTTAATTCTTCTTCACCCAGTAACCCCTTGCGCCTTAGTGACTTTACTGCCTTGCATGGGGTGAAATAAACTTAAACTGGTCTTAAAATACGTTAAATTCTTGTAATTTATAAACTTTAACTTATCTCGTTTCTTGTTATTTTGAACTGTAATTTCGAATGACAACGGTCTAGGGAGCACGTACAGACATACTATATATATATATATATATATATATATATATATATATATATATAAAGATAGAGACAGAGACAGAGAGAACGATTGAGAGAGAGAGAGAGAGAGAGAGAGAGAGAGAGAGAAAAATGTGTTAATAGATATATACAATTATGTTTTGCCAACAAAAAACAAAAAACAAAACAAAAAAACAAAAAACAAACAAAACGATCGTGTGGGTTATTTATAGAAGTTTCTGTTTTTAAGGTAAGCAGCTTTTTGCAATTATCGCGTTCGATATCGAGAGATATGCTGTTAATAGTGAAAAATGAAACTTAATATTTACTTATTTGTCTCTACTCTGAGTTTCGTGGAGATTACATCTCTTCAGCAAGGCAGTTGATTTCAAAATTGAATTTTATATTCAAGCCTCTGGTGTGTGGGGGTAATCTTTGTGAAACTGATAGTAGGGGCAGATAAATGAACATTTAATTTTATTCCTTATACGAGAAAAAGAGACAGACAGGTAAATAGATCGATAGACAGAAAGAAAGAAAGCTAGATAGAACGAACGAAAGAAAGAAGCAGAGATAGATAGATAGATAGATAGATAGATAGAAAGAAACTGTGATTGATATATAGATGGAAAAAAACTTCCTTATGAGAAAAACACAGTCAGAGAGACAGATAGAGAAACAGATAGATAGATAGAAACAAATCGAGATAGAACGAAACAAACAGCGATATATAGATAAATTGATAGATAGAAACAAACTGCGATAGATCGATAACTAGCAAGATAAACAAACTTAGATAGATAGATAGATAGATAGATAGATAGATAGATAGATAGAATTTGAGAGGAATAGATAGTGTTTGAGATGAATAGATAGATAGATAGATAGATAGATAGATAGATAGATAGATAGTGGCATATTTAGAAAGCTTCTTCCGGAAACCATTAAGCGACGAAGCGAAGGTAAACAAAATGGAGAATATTTGCATCATCGATTCGATAGTAACATTTTACTCATATCAGAATCATTGGAGCAATTGCAAGAAAAGCTAAATGACCCAAATAAAGAAACGACGAGTACTGATTAGAGCAATAAAAGACAGGCGGCATTGTCGAGCCATTTTCGCCCGATTTCTGAGAGAGAGAGGAGAGAGAGAAAGAGAGAAAGAGAGAGAGAGATTGTGTATATATGTGTCTGCGTGTATGTGTGTGTGTGTGTGTGTGTTGTTGTTGTTGTGGGAGTATTCGCCTCACTAATGTGGCTTTTGGGCCAGACTAAGTTCACCTGAGCAAACAGAATAATGGCTTTTCGCCATATTCTAATTCCAAACAAGATCGTTTTGGAAACCATTACTACTGTGATGAGATCGATTTCCGGTACCCAACTAATATTGCCACGTGCCAGACTAAGCTGGTCCGAATAGTCAAATCGTTTTTATAAATAATATCCACGTTCATACCAGCACAATTAGGCAGACGCGTGCGGCCATCGATAGCAACGTCACCACAGACAT